GCTTACCTTTTAAAAAGGTTGGTGTCATAGCAAGCGCTGTAGCATAATAAAACACAATAGACCATTTCTTAAATTTGCTGAATCAAGCCCTCCCCCCCCCCTCCAACAAGTTGTGGCATCTCAATATGAGTGATGTCAAAATAATGTAAAACACACAAATTAAAAAATATTCTCGCTTCATACAATTAATGGACAGAAATAACATTTATAAATCGTTGCTCATAAAAATATAACACCAAGATATCAAATTTATAGAAACACATATTGAAAATGCATCATTTGTGCAACAGGACTAGCATTTTTAAGCAAATCAAAAACAATACTGGGAAATTGTTTCCCTTTCTCATATCACAGGAACCCAAATATACATATACATGTATCAAAGGAATGCTAACACAATTACAAATGTATAACGTATTTATGACATTTAAACTTTTCAAAAACATCCAGATTTTTGAAAAGTGCAACAAGATTCATATATACAATGAATTCAAATGAAAAGTGCCCACTTTGTTTCATTTACAAAATTTTTACTCAAGCTCCCTTTGAAGAGTAAATAATATAGAGATTCCTGATCACATAATTATAAGAAAATAAATATGCTCCAATGCTGACTATTAACTTCTTCAGAAGTGAAAATCCACATTTCCACTAAAAACACAATTTTAAAAAACTTTTTTTGTCAAACATGACATTAAAAAACACATACAAACTTAAACTGGCTAATTACCAGCAGGTAAAATTAAAAAAAAATTGACTTCAATTACAGCAAAATTTATGAATTGTTCAATAAGAATTTTATTCTATAAAAAACTAAGGAGATTAAACTTGTAAATCTGCTACCTATCTTAATGCAAAAATCAACTTCCCTGTATGCAAACATTGCACAGAGAGATAAGAACTTTTCAAAATTCAAAAGCAAAGAATATTATATTTTTCAGTAACCCTAAAGACAAAGAATTAAAATATTTGTAACACATAATCAACATCACATGAGTCCATAAAATGAAAATTCAGATCAATGTTTATTGACTTGCTTAAAAAAAAGTATATTTAAATAATAAAAAAAAAACGGAATGACGGATATGTCAAAAATATAATGCCCTAGCTTTCTCAAGGATGGGCTCTAAGGAAGAAATAACAAGTACTGTATACAAGATTATTTCTCATCCCATTTTTTGCCCTTTCACCCCTGCAAACAAGTTTGCCCTGTTTGAGAAATAAAAAAAATAAAGTCTTTTTTGAATTTATCCTGTTTTCTATTGTTTCCCTTGTGATGAGGAGAAATTGGCAAAATAAAAAAGGGGGTGAAAAATATTTCCTGTATGCAGTAAGTGGAATGATTATAGATATTGCACAATCCTAATCTCTTGGCACCATGAACATAAAATTTTAATGTATAGTTTGTTTCAAATGCTACATCACTGACCCTAGAACTTTATTATGGTGTCTAATTATATCGTGGTACTTAATCCTTTTGCATAAAAAGTGTTATTTCAAACTTTTACTTTAACTTATTCAAATGATAATTATAGTTCTAACTTTGGCCTAACTTTTTAGTGTCCAATTATTTTCCAAGCTTGCATCATTTAATTTGTTGTCTATTTTTAAAACAGGATGTCTTATTTACCTCCTAAAATGGAGTCTCGTTGTATCGCTGTATGGGAAAACATGGAAACTTGTAGATGATATGGATCTCAACTTTTATTTTTGAATTTACGATGCAATTCTACATGAAAAATAATCAATTGTAAAAACTTAAGACTTTTAAAAGATGAGCTTGATAAAAATCTTTACTAGGTTATAAATCTAATGGTCGAAATATAACAAAAACGGGACTGGAAATATGTAAAATTACGTTTTATCTTAATATTTTTTTTCAAACGGATGTTCCATACTTCTAAATCGTCAAAAAAAAAAAAAAATTAAACAATCAGACAACATACATATTGTCCATCAACAAAAAGAATATAGGCTATGTATCCAAATTTTTGTGATATACCACGATACAATGAAACCCGCCATATAATGAGAATCGAGTATACAGTGCTAATGTGGCCAGCTACACTTGTAAGGTTTAGAAGGGGGTCCCTTGTAACATTTGTTCTTTCCTTTGGCACATCCAGCAGGAGCCCAGTTCTGTAAAATCAAAAAATTAAACATCACTTATAAAGTACATACTAGTATATAGTTATTGGATGGTAACCTACATGTATCATAACTGCATGATCACGCACATTAAGCTATTGGATGGTAACCTACATGTATCATAACTGCCTGATCATGCACATTAAGCTATTGGATGGTAACCTACATGTATCATAACTGCCTGATCATGCATATTAAGCTATTGGATGGTAATCTACATGTATCATAACTGCATGATCATGCACATTAAGCTATTGGATGGTAACCAACATGTATCATAACTGCCTGATCAGACTTATATAGTTATTGGATGATAATCTACATATTAAATAATAATGCCTGATCACACCTATATAGTTATTGGATAATAACCTATATGTATGATAACAGCCTGGTCACACATTATATAAATATTGCATGTAGTTGAGTGTAACATTGAAAATTTTCACCCCAAGAAAACCATTGTCAACCGAGGCGCAGCCGAGGTTGACAATGGTTTTCGAGGGGTGAAAATTTTCAATGTTACACTCAACTACATGCAATATTTATTATATTATACTGAATGTTTTATACAAATACATATTACAGTGAACCGTGCGTGCATAAATTCCGCGCAGTTGCTATTTTTTGGAATACCACCCGTCGTCAAGCAATGTTGACTGTTGCTACGCAGGAGGGCGTGGCTTCATTATTCAGCAGGTAGTAGTGTTTTTTATCAAATGTTTCTCGACGAATCAGATTCAAGTAATTTACATGAAAGTATAATATATTAAGCTATTGGATGGTCACACAATTATATAATGTTATTGTATGGTAATCTACCATTACAGCCTGTTCACACATATTAAGTTATTGGATGGTAACCTACTTGATCATTACAGCCTGATCAAACTTATTAAGTTGTTGGATGGTAACCTACTTGATCATTACAGCCTGATCAAACTTATTAAGTTATTGGATGGTAACCTACTTGATCATTACAGCCTGGTCAAACTTATTAAGTTATTGGATGGTAACCTACTTGATCATTACAGCCTGATCAAACTTATTAAGTTATTGCATGGTAACCTACTTGATCATTACAGCCTGATCAAACTTATTAAGTTATTGGATGGTAACCTACTTGATCATTACAGCCTAATCAAACTTATTAAGTTATTGGATGGTAACCTACTTGATCATTACAGCCTGGTCAAACTTATTAAGTTATTGGATGGTAACCTACTTTATCATTACAGCCTAATCAATCTTATTAAGTTGTTGGATGGTAACCTACTTGATCATTACAGCCTAATCAAACTTATTAAGTTGTTGGATGGTAACTCACCATGACTGCCTGGTCACACATATTAAGTTGTGGAGTGGCTGGCACCAGCTTTGTCATATGATCCTGTATTTCTTTCATTAACAAAAGCATTGCCTTTTTATATT